TCTTTTCCTGTCTGAGATGCTCCTCCCCGATCTTCTCTCGTGGGCTTATTGTCATTTTTCAGAAATGTCATCTGTTTGGAGAATTCTTCATCCCTAGGTGAACAAGTCCCTCTCAGCTCCAAACCTGTCTTGGCCACTGCCCTGTGGTATGCTGGAGCTCTCTGCAAACTCCACGTTTTCTCCAGTCGGCTTTGTTAGACTCTACAATAGGTGGCATTACACTAGAAGGAACTTGGAAATCAGTAGGAGGGAGAAGGGCTTGTGTTCCTCCCTGTTGCCTTGTTTCTGTCAGTGTCACCATGACAACGGCAATAGCCCGTGCTATTTGATATTTTATTTTATTCTAACTTCTTGCACTCTCCCAACCTGCAGCTATGGGGGATTCTCTCCCTGGAGTAATGAGCCCTGTAGAGTCTAAGGTCTGAGTTTCTAGATCTAATCACCTTAAACCCTCAGAAGCTACCTCCAGCTCTAGTTTTTGTAGTTGTTTCCTCTTGCCATTAGCTCTGATAACTGTTTCTTTTGTGCTTTCCCAGGCAACCAACATAACAGCTTCTTCCTCTCCTGTCTACCTGTGGGATTACCAACTGTGGTTTCTGCCTTTCATAAAACGTCTGTATCTTGACTGTCCTGCAGAACCTGATTTAGGACTACACTTGCTCTTCTAACCAACCTCTGCAAAGTCTGTACTTTTGTCTGTCTCATACTTTGTTACTGGTTATCAGGAAAGTCTTATTATTCCTCATATCCTTGGTGACTACCAGGAAGCTTGACATCATATGTGAACTTAGCTGATGTTTTTTTAAATGAACTGGGTTATTATAAAAGATTACATACATGAGCCAGGTATGGGGTCATATACTTGTAATCCTAGTGCTGAGGCAGAAAGAACCAGGAGGAATACTGCATGCCTGAGGCTAGCCTGGTTTAACACTAAGTTCCCAGCCAGGCAGGGCTACACAGAAAGACTGTTTTAAAAACAAATGGACAAAACAAAGACAAAGGACAACAAAGAAAAAGGCCAGATTTGAGCAATTTTTAAAATCTTTCAGCTTTAGGCTAATTTATCAGTGGACTCTGTAGCAATGCAATTCTCTTAAGAGACTCAACTATAGTACTTACTGAATGAAAAAGAGAAATAAAAAGGCCAGAAAGGCCAGGCAAAGACATGAAGGCTCCTAGGTATGGAGAAGAGAAAGGTACGAGGGAGAGCACAGCCAGGGGCAGGGACATCTGGGAGAGTCCAGAGTGGACAGGGCCAGGCTTGGTTGTGCCATGTGGAAGAGAATGGGAGGGGAAGGGAGAGAGAGGGAACCAGTTGCTGCAGCCAGGACGCCCAATGGTACAAAATGTCTGGATTACATAGGGAAGAGTAGCCCAGTCCCCTGGACTGGAGAGTTTAGGGTAAGGGGCAGGGTATGCCAACCAGGAGCTCTGTAGCAGGCAGGGACTGAGGGATTGCCTGCAGAACCTGGTGGTCTGCTTTGGTATGTTAAACAGGGACCTCAGTCATTTGTCCCAGGTTTGAAACAGAACACTTACTTCTAAGCATGTTAGAATACAATATTTTGTTTAGTTCTAGAATGATCATCAGTGGAATAACAGGGCAGTCTGCTTTGATTCTGTGTGGACATGGACCTCTACGTTCTGTAACTGAGCGTGAGAATGCTTACCTTGGTAATGTTTCTTGAAGATCACAAGCTGCAAAGTTTGTCAGCCAAGAATTTAAAAAATGGAATTCATCCAAAGAATCCTCTTACAACATCACTTAACATTTACTTGGAAAACAATCTGTTTATGTTCTGCTTTGCATTGTGTGACATGGTTTACAAAACCAAAGCATAGAGGCCCCAAGTCTGACTAACTTCTATACAGCTATAAGAATCTGAAAGTAATGTCTAGCTTTTTATTTAAGTTTAAATTACTAAGACAAAGGACACTTGGATATGGTGTATATGCTTAACAGTTAGATAGTTTTGGTAAAATAAATGTGAATAAATGACAGAGACCAGTAGATTAAACAGATTAAAGCAGAACCATTTCCAAATGTCCTATCTTCCCCATTTTCTAATTCTCAAAAAAGAAAAACAAAAAACAACAAAACAAAACAAAAAAACCCAAAACTTTTCTTTTCCAGCTTGTTTTGGCTACGAGGGTCCTTAAACTCAGCCCTTCTTTCAATTTCCCCTCCATTTTGAAATCTGTTAGGTTTTTACATGCTCACAGCTGTTTTTCTTTACTCAAAACCTACTTTCACAGTATCATTTTCTCACACATAGGCTCCAAAGCATTTATATTCAATTTGTTTTTAATGACTATAGTTTTCAATGTCACTTTTGAAATTCTGTTCTTACAGCTCATAAATGACTGTCTAGTTAATAAGTATTCTTTTTTTTTCAGTGTCATTCATATTCTTGGGACTTCATTTTTGTTATTTCTTTTGCATCTGGCAGTCAGTTCTTTTTCCTTGAGATTCTGTCTTGGTTCAAGAGACGCTGCGCTCCTGGTTGTCCTCTACAAATATTTTCCACTCCAGTCTTCCCCCTGTTCCCTGCGCCCTGTCCACTTGGCTTACTGTTAATTCACCCTCAGGGGTGGTTTATGAGAATGAGCTCCTGAGTTGTATTCAGCTTGTACAGTTTTGAACTCCTAGCCACAAAATGTACTTCTGTGATTTTCTGACGGAAGACTTGGGTTCATATCTCCTTTCTCTGGCTTCCTCTCCAGAACCTGTGTCAGTTATAAATGCTTCCCAGTGTTGTCTCCAGCAGTGATTTCACCTGTCCCTTTTCCTTATCAGCCTCTGGCCAGCAGAGCTTCATCTCATCCAAACTGGGCTCTTCCACTTTGTCTAGTTTAACCAGATCTTCTTGCAGCTTCCAGGACATTCCACCTAGAAGAAGTACAGTTCTGTTCATATGCCCTTGATCAAGATTCTCTATCAGCTTTGTCCCTGGAATAAATCTAGGTGCCTTCATTTGGTATTTAAGAACTTTAGTCTGAGTCTTATGATGTTACTCTCCCACTTGCCCATATCTTATAGCAACCTGTTTCCATAGTTCAGTGGACTGGAGCCATGGTTGCAGCTTTGAACCTTGTTCTTGTATGAGCTAGCTGTGTGACTATGAACACACATCTGCCCTGGTCCCTCTATTTGTAATAGGAATCATAGGGCTGTTGTGAAAGACAACAGGAAGGGCTTTGAACAGTGCCTGGCATGCAGTAAGTGCTACTTGATGTTTCACTGCACATATTTACTAAGGCCTGCACATGTGGGCCTCCATGTGCCATAAATTCTGAGGACTGGGGACTATGAACGAGTTCTGGAGCTCTTTAACAAGAATGCAGTATGGTGTATGTCATAGTTTTCACTCTATCATGCATTATGAAACATACAAGATAGTTCCTTGCATAGTTTTTGTTTTCTCCCTGATGGAGTACAGGTGCAGTCATGCCATTTCATTCGTTTCTGTGAGTAGGAGTATGGTATATTTTGTACCTACACACATAGTAATGCTTATTTCTGAAATGAACATAACTATGCGTTTTCATTGGATCTTCATTAACTCTTCAGCTGTGCATACAGAAGAAAATCAATAGAACATTTCACTTTAACCCCCAATATCAAATGTCATTAAAAAGTACACATGTTGGAGAGATGGTTTAGAGGTTAAGAGCACTGACTATTCTTCCAGAGGTGCTGAGTTCAATTCCCAGCAAACACATGGTGGCTCACAACCATCTGTAGTGAGATCTGGCACCCTCTTCTGGCAGGCAGACTCGCAGGCAGAACACTGTATACATAGTAAAGAAATCTTAAAAAAAAAAAAAAAGAAAAAGAAAAAAAAAGTACACATTGAAAAGTTTCTACACCCTGATAAGTCTCTCTGCTGATGCAACAGTCCAAATCAGACCACGTTTAATGCACACAGCACTCCCGGTTGGCCTTCCAGCTCCCCTGAGAGGAGAAAAGAGAGAGAGACCAGAAAACCACCTGTCTATTTTCTGGGCTTTCTGAGATGTGGCAGGGTTTGGAGAGAGATAGGGGAGGGGGGTTTGGGTGCAGCCTCCACCATACATCCTAGATTCTCTGGGTGCTGGAGTGCAGCTTCCACCTAAACACACATTTCCCATTGTGCTGTGTTACTATGTGGTGTCTTAGTCTGCTTTACTAAGCATACTTTACAGAACATACAGCCTTCCTGTTAATATCATTTGAAGATTTTGTTAAAAGAAACATCCTAGCCAGGTGGTAGTGGTGCACACTTATAATCCCAGCACTCAGGAGGCAGAGGCAGGCAGATCTCTGTGTCTGAGGCCAGCATGATCTACAGAATGAGTTCTAGGCCAGCCAGGGCTACACAGAGAAACCCTGTGTCAAAAACCCAAACCAAACAAGAAAAAGGAGGTGGGGAGCCATCCTAGAGCGTGCTTCCAAGGGCACCACACCTCTACATTTCTGATTTCTTTCGAAAATGCTTTAAAAATTCCTATCATCAGCTGTGGTGACACACACTCTCACTCAATCCTGTCACTTGGGTGGCAGAGTCAGGTGAATCTTGTTCTAGGACAACCAGGGCTATAGAGTGAGACCCAGCCACAACCAACAAAACAAAACACAAAATTTTGAGGCACTTATCTGAAGTTTTGATTCATAACTTATTTTTCCCTTCTTTTCAAAGAACTGTACATATCCAAAGATGGTACCCAAAAGGAGAACATTCTACTAAGTAATAAAGTATCTTTCCTTTAGCTAGGCTTACTGTTTATCCAGCCATCACCAGTAAATACAGCAGATGGAAGTTCTCTTACTAAAAGACCCCAGTGCTATTTTTTCTTAGTACAGTACAATAAGATACAATGTTGTATCAGCCCGGAATTCAAATCTCTGTACTGCCCATCTTGGCAGGCTATCTTAAGTATTCTTTTTACCTATGCAGAGTACTGTCAGAATGGAGTAACAATTTTCTCTTTCTAAATAACAAGGCCAGCACAATACATTTTAAATAATGACCAAGGATTTTTTTTTTTATTCATTAAGTTTCAGTATCATTACAGAAAATGTTATGGTACAGAGTTGTTTAACATTATTTTGTTTTTGCTCTTGATTTCCACATGAATGCTGGTAACACTAATATCTGTACAAGATCAGTCTTTGATTTTATTTTATTTTTGTTCTGTACAATTTTAAATGTGTTGGTTAAAAAGGCTGTCAGCACTTAAGGAAGCATTTTCCCCCAGTTTGTTTGTTCAGATAAAAGGTATCCAGTTACTGCCTGCGAGTACTGTGCCATGAGGCTGCTAGGGCGAGAACGTCCCTGGGTGCTTGGCAGGGATCTTCTTGCGGCAGGGCGGGCCTCCGCGAGGTCACTCCTCTTTTGGCACAGTGCACATAAACACGAGATACATGATAAAGAACAAGCAAAAGCTCTCTTTAAAGCAGTTACGAAGCATACTAAGAAGGAAAATCCAAGTGTTGCCTACACTAGTATATAAATAAGCAGACAGCCTTGATTAAGAGCATAAGTAGTTGTATTTAAAGATGAGAAAAAACACAAGTTCTGCAGGCACCTACCGCGCTGTCTACTAAAAGCTATCGCTATCAGACCTAGCATTGAACACACAAAGCAATTTGCAAGAAAGGAAAATTTTGCTTTGATATAATCAGAATAGAGTTGTCTGTTAAGATTTATTCTTAGGTGTTTTTTTTTTCTTTAAAAGGTATTTAAATTCATTTGAAATATAGTTCAAGATGTTGACTATACAGATCAACTTTTATCCAGATCAGAAAAACTAGCTGTGCCGTTGCATATTACAGGATACAGTCAATGATATGTGGACATGCATCAAAGCTTTCTCCTGTTGGTGACCATCATAGCCGTCCAATGACCATAACATCCACCACCTCGCCCTTGTGGAGTTCCACGTACTGCTCTGTCTTTGGAGGTAGCATCAATAATCCATTGGCGCTGCGCATGCTCATCAGACGGCTGCTCATCTGATTACCTGGAATGAAATACTCTCATTACTGCAGCATCAGGAACTATTTGTGGAGAGGCCAGCAAATGGAGTACAGGGCTCCAAGGACAGAGATGACAGGCTTCCCAGTACCTTTCCCAGATGAAATGCAGGTCCTACATCCTTCACCTTCTCATCAAAAACTTTAAAAACAAATATTAGATATTTTTTAAAGAATAAAATAGTACTTTATAGCCATTCAAAATGCCACAAAAAATTCTCACTTCTGGGTGGATTTATATTCGTATAAAAATAAAGCCTTTAAAAAACTTAAGATAACAATAATAGAAGCTACCATTAGGCACTTTATGGTCATTTTTATGAACTGTCTTATTTAACTCTTATAAGATGCAAAAGGTCTGAGGTACGCTGCCTAGGGTCTTTCTAACTAGGCAGGTGGCCAACTTGCATGCAGAACTCTGTGATGACAAAGGCTCATGAACTGAACCACTGTCAGTGAATGTTTGCAGTTGATACAGGGTCTTTTTTTTTTTTTTTTAGGTGACAGTTTTTGTGGAACTGCATCAAATTCGGGCAAAATATGATTAGAAAAGGTTGAAAGTAGAGAGTTCTCTACTTCAGAGGTAGACTTCTGAATTATCAACATGGTTTTGTCCTTAAAGTTTACCAGTACCTAGGACGTAGTAGGGTCCATAAAGATCAGATTGTAAATTTGGCTTTTTCCTCAACATTGCAGGATAACACAGCTACTGTACTCTTCCTTCCAACCCACCAGTCATGTTCAGAGGGCTGCTTGAACTAATAGATCAAAATCTGTAATATTATTTGTATATTTCAAATGTGTATTTAGAAAATATGGCTCAGTAAAATAAACATTAAGAATAACTTATTTCATCTAACCTCTTAAAAAGAGAAGTGCATGACAACTATTCATTTCATTATCGCCAAGGGAGAGACAGGATTGACATAGTTGTTACTGTGGTTTGTTTTTCGAAGTGCACAAGCACCTGTGTGGGTGTACAGGTATGAATGACTGACCTGTACTCTGGGCCCAGGGCAGTGGTTCTTGGTGATGCCACGTCAGTATACACCGGTGGTATTCTGGGCGAGGGTCCAGTTTTACATCACACGACAACTACAGCATGAAGAGGCAAAGAAATTTAACTTGGTCACCTAATCAGTTCTCAGAACTACAGAGAATATAGTGAGCATGGATAGATAACATTCTTGTCATTCTACTATTTCTCTTATTGCCATCTTGTTTTTAATGCAAAAGTCCAGACAGAGGTTGACTGCTACTGTAAAGAAGTAAGACTGCCAGGAAGTCAGTGTTCATAATGGGACAAAGGACAAATGAAAAAGGTAAAATCTATTATTATGGGTTGTAATGATCCTGAATCTATGAAATGAGAAACTGAAGCAATACCTTATTATTAAAAGGAAAGGAGGTAGATTTAATAAACAAATTCAGTAATTAACCATCCACCAGTATTCACTGTAGATATAATATGTGCTAGGCATTATTCACCTACCCATTTATAAAACTATTTTCAATGTATAAGGAATAGGCTTTTATATGTTGCTTATATTTTCTTTGCTGATAGCATAACTTCTTACTGCTCCTAAATTGTTTTGTGCTTCCTCTTAGTCTCTCTGTATGTGCTCTCCAGTGCTAAATTGCAGGAGCCACTCACATGGCTGTTTTGCAGCCAATTTTAAAGGCTAGATGGTAGATATTAAAAATGAAATAAATGTAAGGACTCTTATGAGCTTTGCAGTGTTGGATAAGCTATGTATCTCTTAGAACAATATGGATCTTTTCTGCTCCCTTAGCTTAGCAAGTGTGAAGACAGTATATTCTCCATTATTGGATTGGCTCTAAATCTGTTAGGACTTAGAATTTTTGATCTGATCATAATTTGTTTTTGTTCATACTGGCCTTTCTTCCTTCCTCTCTCCTTACTTTGCTGGCAATTCTGAGCATATCTCCTTATGATTACTGAAAAGAAGCTCCATTTTGGGGAGGGATGATTTGACACACAGGACACTATGCCTGGCTAGTTGATTTTAAGTGATATTTTAGGGAAACAGGATGCTTTTATCTTCTTTCATTCACAAATCTCCAGTAATAAAAGTATCAACATTAAGACTGCTGATGGCCTGGATTTTTCAGAAAGCATATTTATTTTATGTATATGTGTCTGTGTGCACATGCAAGTGCCACACAATTTATGTTGGGGGTCAAAGGACAACTTTCAGGAAGTCAGTTTTCTCTCACCAAGTGGGTCCCAGGGATTGAACTCAGGCTGTCAGGCATGGTAGCATGTGCCTTTAACCTGCCATCTAAGTTGTCTTAGATGTTTTTTGTTTGTTTGAGTAGACCAGGCAGCCTTGAACTCAGAGCTCTTCCTGCCTCTGACTCCTGAGTGCTGGGATTAAAGGTGTGTGTCGACATTTTAGATGTTTTTACACTATGTATCCTAAATAATATTTTATCACTATTTCTTCTTTTGTGTTTTATTTACTTTTAAAAAACAGTTCATTTTTATTTCATGCAATTTGTTGTTTTGTCTGTGTGAAGATGTCAGATCCCCTGAAACAGGAGGTACAGGCTGTTGTGAGTGCCATGTGACTGCTGGGAATCGAATCTGGCTCTTAACCACTGAGCCATCTCTTCAATCCCTCTTCTGTGTTTTATATTCGTTTGGTCAAATAAGCATAGAATTGTGTCATATGTAAATTACTTCAAAACTTTTGAATAGTAATAGCTTGGTTCTATAGATTATGATGTCAAGAAAGTCACCTGTTAGTAATACAGAAAATGTATAACTGGTTGAGTGGTAAGTTAAATCAGTAGTGTGGGTAGCCCTTGTCTTACTGTGGTGGATAGCCCTTGTCTGACTAATGCTGTTCTGAAGTGCCACAGTCTTTTAGTACTTTGATTGCCCCTTCTGAATTTTTTGAAGAGCAAGCACATACAATCAAACAGGTTAACTCTTAATCCCAGGGTGGTGGGTTTGTGCCCCACGTTGGGCACATCATATGTAAGGAGTAAGGTTTTTCTTGCCGGCCTAGACCCACCACGGCGCCAGCCCCAAATAACACACAGAGACTCTGTATTCGATATAATGCTGTTGGCCAGTTACTTGTTTCTTATTGGCTAGCTCTGTCTTAAGTATTAACCCATTTCTATTAATCTAAGTATTTCCATGTCTGTCCTCTATGAACATCACTGGGAAACAATCTTACCTCTTACTCTTCACAAGTCTAGTGTGTGGTACAGGCTGTTTCCTGTTTGCTGGCTTTTTCTTAGGACCTACTAGATGTTTGAATAAAACATTTTATTTACTTTTATGTGTATGGGTGCTTTTCCTGTGTATGTCTGTATGCCATGTGTATACAATGCCTGAGGAGAAGGCCAGAAGAAGAGGGCATCAGATCCCCAGGGACTGAAGTAACAGCTGCATATGAATGCTGGGAATTGAATCTTGGGCCTCTGGCAGAGCAGCCAGTACTTTTGACTTCTGAGCTATCTCTCTCTATGTATGCAGGACATAAAAGTGAATGTTCCCTTCTCTTTCCACCACAAGGGGAGAGAACACTAATACAATTATGAGTAAACAAATCTAAAATTATAGTCATCTATTTTGGACAGTTAGTAATTGTTATCAGGCTTCCTTCCATTTTGGTTTCTGGTCATTAGAAACCAAATAGGAAACATTACCCTGGCTTTGATGATGGTTGGCCGAGGATCCAAGATACCCTGCATCTTTCTCAGTGCAGGTACAACAAAGAGATTGCAGGTGACCACAGCTGATACAGGATTCCCTGAAAGTCAACCAAATAGTTATTTATATTATACCACATAAAGATTTGTCAGACAATTACATCTATGTGTACAGTTAGGTATGATAGAACATGATAGAATGTGAATGACCATTTATCTACTTCTTCTGAATCACTCTGAACCCAACAGAATCACAGAACAGAGGGGTAGTTACACACATCTACAGAGGGTAAGAACTGAACCTTCTGGTCTTCCATGAAAATACAAAGAGATCAGATTCTCAGCTGTTAGGACCCATTTCTGCTTTCCTGAGAGCCTTGCACTAAAAGCCATTGCTAACCTTGATGTGCACGTGTGCGCATTTGTGGCTGTGGGTGAATGGGCATACACTTAACCCTGCATGTGAACCACACATACTTTTACACTGAGCACCATCACAATTTTAATAAGTTAAAATTTTTTAACATATCTTCTCGTTATTTTTGAAGCATTTCTACCATAGAAATATGATACAAATAAAAGAAAATAGAGATATGGAACTTTATCTATAGCCCTCTTTATTCAGACATACCAAATGACTTAAGCTGTAAAGACTTTAAGAGGAGTAAGGTGGTGTGAACTGCAATTTTAACTCCCACAAGAAAGCTCAGTGCTCAGGGTATCTGAGGAGCAGGGCCTTGTTGACCAAAGCTCATTGAGGACACAAGATAGGGCCCGAATGCAGTAGAAAGCAGAGACCAACCGAAGTATGCATGTCAGAGGCAAGGCCATGAGACTCAGAGGCAGCTGACTGAAGAGCAGAGAAGGCATCAGAGAGCAGCACTGTCGCCACCTTGAGTTTTGGGTTTCTGAGCCTTAGAACTGTGAGGAAACTGTGTGCATCAACCTTTGGTGTATATGTTTGTTTATAATAATTATATCTTATGTATGGATTGTTCTCTTTATTCACATGTAATGATTTCCTTTATCACTTTGTCTGATGTCTTGAAGTCTACTTTTGTCTTATAAGGCTGTAGGTTCTCTTGCTAGCTTTTGACTTCAATTTGCTTGGTGTATTATTCTTTCATCTTTAGTCTCTATGTATATTTTCCATACATACATAAAGTGTGATTCTTTTTTTTTTTGGTTTTTCAGGAAAGGGTTTCTCTGTATTGCTTTGGAGCCTGTCCTGGAACTAGCTCTGTAGACTAGACTGGCCTTGAACTCACAGAGATCCACCTGCTTTTGTCTCCCAAGTGCTGAGATTAAAGGTGTGCAACTACCAATGCCCAGCTAAAGTGGGATTCTTAACTAGACAGACAATAAACAGTTGGATCTTACATTAAAAACAAAATTATGTTATGCTATGTGCTTGTACGTACCAGAGGAGGTCATAAGAGGGTACTAGATCGCCTGCCAAGGGTGCTAGAAACTGACTTCAGGTTCTTTGGGAGAGCAGCAGAGCTCTTAACAGCTGAGCCACCTCTAGACTAGGACCTTGGTTTTGTTTTGTTTTTCTAGACAAGGTTTCTCTGTGTAGCCCTGACTCTCCTGGAACTCACATTGTAGACCAGGCTGGCCTTGAACTCACAGAGAACCACCTGCTTCTGCCTCCTGAGTGCTGGGATTAAAGGTGTATAACACCACTGACTGGCTCAAAGGTTTAATTTTTAATTTAATTTTTTAGTGTGTGTGTGTGTGTGTGTGTGTGTGTGTGTGTGTGTGTGCACGCATGCCTCATAGCACACAAGAGAAGCTCACAGGACAACTTGTGGGAGTTGGTTCTCTCTCTCCTTACCATGTGTGTCCAGAAAATTAAACTCAGGTACCTTAATGGATTGAGCCATTTTGTCAGCTGCCATTTCCATGTTTTCATAGTGAATGTGTAATTTTAAAAGTTAAAAACTGTTATATGTGAAATTATTACATTGGCTATAAGATTGGTGAAAACCTTTAAGTACATGGCCTTTAAGAAAGCATAAATACACTCTAGAAATTGAAAATCTTTGGAAGAGGAACATCTTTGCTATATGTGGATCTGGACATGTGAGCTGTTGCTGCCCTCTTTTGGTTCATTCAGGCTCAGTGGAGGGTGTTTCAAATAAAAAGAGTGATTTGAAGACAGCTTTGAATTTTGTAGTTTCTGTGGAACAATCATATATCATCAGAAACGGGCTCTTACAATAATGATCTTTGTTCTAGTATCACTGGTGGTAGTCTAATCTATGTGTTACATCACACCTAAGGAGAAAGCAGCCTCTTTACTAGACAAAATGAAGCTAGCAAGAGCAGCTCATTTGTCATAGATTAGCCTTCAGAGTATCTGAGGGAACATTAAAGACCTTAGGTTTAGCCATATGCCATAGATATTTGAGGTTGGTTTACTTACAATTAATCTTAATATTTTCTGTATGACACAAGTTTATGTTTATGCTTATGGACAGTGTTTAAAATGTTAAGACTTAAAAATTCTTCTGCCTGCTTCTTTTATTTTTTTTTTTAGATTCTATTTTGAGATTCACTGATATAAAAAGCAAATAAATCTCTGATTTCCATGAGATTTGTGAGTCTGAAAGGATTTTTACTTTTTTTTAAGAATTGCTGTTAACAAAATGGGTACTTGAGCAGAACTATTACAAGTTTCTATTTTTTAAGACTAGGTCTTTTTTTGCCAAGGCTGCCCTTAAACCTTTGGTGATCCTACTGCCTCAGCCCCATCAGAATTAGAATTACAGATATACTTACAGGATAGTTTTTTAAAAAAAATAACAAGTGGATACATAAAATTCTAAAGTGCTTTAAAATTTATTAAGATTAACAAAGACATAAGATGCGGGGCTGCAATTAATAAAAATTGAATTAACAAATTCTTAGAAACTGGACCATCTTGTTTTTCTACAGTTTGAACACTCAGGTTTCTGCTTGAATGGGTGTTAGGTGGTAATGTGGATGTCAGACAGGTGACGTGTGAATGCTGGCAGAGGTATATCAGCATCAGCAACTCTGCTTCCCTTCCCCAGGCCTTAATCATCCTAAGACCAGAAGCACAGCTGTGCTTGTTTGCATCCAGACAAGGTCTTGTTATGTAGCCCAGGCTGGCCTCATTTCATGATCTTCCTGCCTCATTCACCTGAGTGCTGGAATTACTGATGTGTATTGCCATACCTGGCTATATGTGATCTAGAAATTTCATGTTTGATAGTACTTCTAGTTGTGAGGTCTAATTAGACTGCCCATTTATATTTGGCTATCATCTTAGGCTAAGGACTGTATCCTGGAAGAATATTCTGGTTTGACTAGGTATCAGACCTGTTTTATAGGTGAAGAACTAGCCTCAGAGAAGGTGAGTGATTTGTCAATTAGTACGGCTATTCAAATTATAAATCAAGTGATGTTGATTAGAGGCTGGCCATCTGAGAAGCCTAAATTGTTTTTGGTTATTTTTCTAGAAAAAGAGAAAACAATTTTAATGATTCTTACCTGGAAGTGCAAAGATAATTTTTCTTACACCATCCATATCCAAAGTTGCAAATGTTGTTGGTAAGCTGGAAACAAAAAAGAGCGTACTTGTTTGTGATTGTTATATAACTGATGAGGTAAATCTAGTGCTCTAATTTTCTTGTTGAGTAATTCACTTACCATATAAAACTCTTTTCTTGACTTGCCTCTAAATCTTCCTACTCTGAGATCAATTGCTTTAGTGCCATCTGTTTTCAAGTATCCAAACTTTACAATTTTCAGTATCTTACATTTTTCTTTTTCTCAGTGTCCAAATTCTGATGTGTTCAAATGTCCACACCCCTCTACTCAATGATGTTTTTCCTGTTTTTGTTGGAGATTTAAAAGTCCTCTTATCGGAAGACTGACTGATGAAGTATTTGTAAGTATCTTTGTTCAAGACGAATATTTATTTTTTAAAGATCTACTATTTTATTTTTTGTGTACTTGTGTTTTGATTATGTATGTATGTGCACCATATGCATACAGTGACCGAGGAGGCATTGGATCCTCCGGAACTTAGATGATGTACCATGTGGGTGTTGGCAACTGAACCCGTGTCCCTTGCAAGAGTAGTCAGTGTTTTTAACAACAGAAGCATCCCTACATCTTCTCTTATCTTTTAAAAATGACATTAAAAATAGACATTAAAAAACCTCCCACTTATCAAATATGCTTTTGAACTATAAATAAATAATAATCCATGGATAGAACAAAGCTAAAGCAACCTTTCTCAAAATTCTGACATCAACTTTCATTGAAAATTCAAGAGGGGTGCATGGTATGAAGTAGGTAGTTGAAAACAGTGACCTCCCCACATTGTCACATAAAATTTTAGCTATGAAATTTAAATATTAATCAAACCTAAGTGATGCATACTTCTCAGAGAACACTAAAACTTCCCAAGAGTAAATAATTATGGTTTTATTTTTTGCTGTCAATTTTACAGGTTGATCTTTAAATGTTTTAACACTGTGAGAGTGTATGTGTGTGTCACAGCTCATGTATAGAGGTCAGAGGACCACTTATGAGTGCATTCTCTCCTTACATGGGTTGTGAGGGTCAAATTCAGGTTGTCAAGCTTGGCAGGAAGTGCCTTTACCTGCTGATCTATCTCACTAATTTCTTGGCTTGATCTTTAAAAACAGATCATTCAGCCAGACACTGGTGGCACACCCCTTTAAGCCTGGCACTCAGGAGGCAGAGGCAGGTGGGTCTCTGAGTTTGAGGCCAGCCTGGTCTATAGAGTACGTTCCAGGACAGGTTCCAAAACTACGGTCTCCAAACATGGTCTCCAAAGACCAAAACCAAGAAACCAACCAACCAAATAAACACCAAAACAAACAACAAACAAAATCCCCAACTAACCAACCAACCAAACAAAAACAAAAAGCAAAAACAACAACAAAATCCCAGCTCATTTACTCATTACTGTTTACTATGATATAGTAATAGTATCATTCGGATGATGTATAGCTATATTAATCTGTTATAATATAGTGATGCCAGATTTGGGTTGTTTTATAAAGTATAATTTCAAGTTGCTATGTTCTCATGCTTCTCACTGTTGCTCTTCCATACTTGTAGAGTTCTGTCATCAAATATGAGAGTATTATTTATTATCATTTTAATGGTAACATTTATGCATCACACTCATTATTTAAGTATCATGGCAATAGCAAAAAGATGACATTCGTCATAGTTATCTGATGGATGAGGAAACTGAAACTAAGAGATATTAAAAATTTGGCTCAATCTTACTTAGCTACTAAGATTCTGTAAAAATAGATTTTGAACCAAGGTCATTTTAACTTAAAGGTTCATGTTGGAAAAAGCCAGCATGGGATAATCTATAACAGAGTTAGTACTTAGACTTTGGGACCTCTTTTTTTTCTTATTTCCTGATTCTTTGCTATGTACTAGAACAAGATTAGGTAGGTAACTCAGCAATGATTATTACATTATGACAGTAAGATTTCAGAAGCATTCTGGAGAACAACTATACTTGCTACAGATGACCCATGGCAGGTCTGGGTAATGTTTGGCAAAGTATTTTTTCCTTTGTATTTTTAAGACCCCCCCCCCCGACATCCCTGTGTGTGTGTGTGTGTGTGTGTGTGTGTGTGTGTGTGCGCGCGCGCGTGCGCATGCGTGAATGCGCACGCGTGGAGGCCACAGATTGGCAGTGTCTTCTTCTATGCTCTCCACCTAGTTTTTGAGGCAGCCTCTCACTAACCATCCCCATCTCTGCTTCCTGCCAGTGTTTGATGTGCTGCTGGGGATCTCAGCTCAGGTCACTATGCCCTTTCGCAAGCACTTTACTCACTGAGCCAGCTCCTCAGTTGCCCAAGTATCTTTTTCTTTAAAACCAAAGACATAACTATATTTGGATTGTGCTGTATGTGAAAGGGCAAAGGTAACTTACTTGATTTTGTGTTTCTTTTTGTTCCATCAGCAAGTAGAACAAATTACCTACATTTTTTTTTTTTTTAACATTTAGATAAGATTTTGGCCAGTTAAAGGAAGACCACTTAAATTTCCAAGCCACAATGTTGTAGCAAAGTAGCTCATGGATAACTGTATTTAAAGCCAATATCAAGTATAAGTGCCCTTTAAATTTTCTTTTACACCCTAAGAGGTAATTTCTCCAAAGGTACACACTTGAAAAAGATCGTATTTTCAACACAACATTTTACTCTTAGGCATTACTATCACAAGAATCTTGTTGCGAGAAGTATGTTGGCTCTGGAAAGCCATTTTCTTGGAATTCAACACATAGTTTATTCTGAAATCAGAATTAACAGGATTTATATATTGACTGAGGTTCCAAAGTAAAAGGACTTTAGGGGACAAGAAACACAAGGAACTGAAGCACTTCTATAGTTGAGAGTTGTGAACATTGAACTAGAGAGTATAAAAATCACCACGTGAGCTGTGTTTAACACCACAGATAGCTCGCAAATATAGGTCTGTGCACCATGTGCATGCCAGGTGTCTGCCGAGGCCAGAAGAAAGTGTTAGGTTCTCCTAGAGCCAGATTTACAGATGGCTGTGAGCTGCCATGTCGGTGTTGGGAACCCAAGGTCCTCTGTAAGAACAGCGAGTGCCCTTAATGGCTGAACCATTCTTCTAGCCCCTTTAGGGCTTAATCTTAGCTTTGTACTAAATGAGGTTAAATTTTGAAGGAAGTCTAATCTTTGTCTTAGAAGTGGAACCACTACTGAAAAAAACCTTGGGGATGTCAGGAAAGCAGGCTGATACTTGTTATTTGGGGAATTGGGTTCAAAAACATGCTTTATTTCCCACAGCTTACAACAATATTAAGTTTCCTTGCCACTCTTTCTGATGGTTCATGTGAGTCCCTATCAGAGTATACATCTAAGCTAAAGCATCATTACTGTTTTCTGTGACATTTTGGACATGTGCCATAATACTCTTCTATACAGTGAAGTATGAACAGGTACTCAGAGCACCAAATGTGTTTTATTAACATTACTATTGGGCATTCTTAGAGGATTTACAGTCTAGGACTTCTCCACTAGTTCTTTCTTGAGGGTTATTTGGATTTAGGAAATATGAAAATCTTCCTGTATGGTTATTTTACTTTCATCTTGGAAAGAATGGGAGTCAAAGTTAAACACCATTATGAAGTATTTATGTGAAGCAATTGACTCTGGACCTGGGTCTTTACAGATAGTAGATAGAAACCCAAGGAAGAATTGTTCTATCTACTAGACAAGGAAAAGTAATCTAGTTTCTCCAACAAGTCAATAGCAGAAAGCAAAACCAAAATCAAAACCCACCAAGATCATCACCCCCTCCCCCAGACCCCAAATTTAATAACAAAAGTTTAGAGATTTAATCACTAAGTGCAAAATGAGTGAACTTTACTTGAATCCTAAATTAGAACAATTATTAAAAAGCATTCTCTATCTTGACATTTGGGAGACACTTATATTGACTAGGATATTAAGTAATATGAAAAAATTACTTTTGTTAGATAAGACAATATTATTGAATTTACATAGGTCAGTGTTCTTGTTCTGATTTAAGAGAATAACATGATGTCTAGAATTAACTTTAAAACAATCTGGCTCCACCACCCACGAAAGAGGTTGGGAAACTGACAAAGCTGATAGACATAAATGCATGCTGGTAGTTACTGACTTCGGTAATAGACATGTGTTTGGGTTCATTGTTCTACTCCCATGTAAACTATTTTTACAAAGAATGAAGGTGTAGTGAGAGAGAGAAAGGTACTAGACATGGTAATTAAACAGAAACAAAGTTAGAAAGTTGCTTTGCTTTGTTTATACCAAATTCAGATTCATAAGATGAAATCTTATTTCAAACTGGAACTGCACATATAATAAGGACTCTAGTACTAAAATATTTTCTTTATTAAAATGAGTAACACATAACAAAAGTATAAAAGCAAAGCATTTAAAACTTGACTAGTTAAAGCAATACAAATAACCTAATATATTAGATAAAATTATTTTCATACCCTGGCTTCATAAAAACCCTGCCAAAATGGATCTGAGCATGAAGATCAATGTCCAGCACCTGCTTGAGATAGTCCTGCAAATATTAAAAACAGTCACTTTATTTTCAAGCACTTTAGTATCAGACTTAACACATTAATAAAAATAAAATTGATTTATAATTGAAAAGAACATCTTTGCTATTTTAATGAAGTTGATATGCTTAATTCAACTAATCATTCCTCATTCATTTACTCATTTGCTAATTATTTTTTGGTGCTCTGTGTATGTAGAATATTAGTTGAGGCTCAAGGGGATATAACCCAAATAACAGAGAAACTTTCCCTGCCTTGTTAGAAGGTACATTGTAGAGCCAGAGTGGTACCATAATACCTGTAATCTAAGCACTTGAGAGGAGGAGGAAGGAGAATCACAAGTTCAAGGCCAGCCTCGGCTGGATAGTAATACTGTCTTACACACACACACACACACACACACACACACACACACACACACACACAGAGGGGGTAGAGAGAGAGAGAGAGAGAGAGAGAGAGAGAGAGAGAGAGAGAGAGAGAGAGAACCAGAATAACCATAGTGATGTTTTTACTTGATGGGATTTTGTCTTTGAGATAAAATTTTATGAGATAGAAAGACCATTAATAAAGAAGTTTTAAGAAGTTATGTTTGGTGTGGTAAGATGGTTACAACACTGGTACAAATGTTATGGGGTCACCAATTGCTTTCTAATTAGATTTAAGCCATGTCTCACTGGAGGAAACATATTCTAGCCAACAATCTATGGTTGCGGAGCTTTCCAGGCCCCAAAGTGAACCTACTATTATCTTTCTGTGTAGGAGTTAAGACCTTGGCTAAGAATTCACTTCCCCCTGCTGCCCTCAGGGCAGGCAGCTGTAACCGCAGGAAAACAAAACATGTTTTCTAAAGCAAAATGCTCCTTTGGTTTCTGCAACCCTGAAAGCGCCCTAACTGGTCCTTGGAACCTGAGATGACTAACTGACCCCCCTCTGCTTCCTCTCTTCCATCTGGTGCCAGGGTATAAAAGCCAGCCACCCCCCCACCGAGTAAAATAAAAGGAAAAAGAGCTTTCTTAACATCAAGCAAGAGTCCTGTGTTGTTAATCCCGACACCCTCCGCAGAGTCTCAGTACTCGGCCATGCAGGCACGGTATTTCTGTTAAATGAATATAGTATGAAAGTATTCTTTAATTTCATATTACCTTTAGATTGTTGCAACTATCAGGCCTCATTAGAGGAGTTTCTTTGTGCAGTGAACAGTGGTTAATATAGACACTCAAACTGGTCCAAGTGCAGAGGACTGTCAACGGTGTGGGCAGCAACAGATGGACCATTTGTGGCACACCCACTTCCTAAGACTCAGGGACTACTGCAGAAGTGGGGGTGGAAAGGTTGTTTCAGAGTCAGAGGTCAGGAAGGACAGAAGTGATACAGTACCCTCTGCACATGACATGAAGGGTGTACTCATGAACTCACAGATGTTGTAGCTCTGTAACCAGGCTGGCCTCAAACTCACAAAGATCCACCTGCCTCTGTTTCCTGAGTGCTGGGATTAAAAGTGTGTGCCACCACTGCCCGGCTTCCATGTTAGTTTTTGAGTAGGGTTTACCACTGACCTTGGAGCTCACTGATGTGGGACCCTATCCTCCAGTCTCTGCTCCACAGCTCTGTTATTACAGTATGTGCTGTTGGACTTTTATTTGTGTGTTGGAGCTCTGAATTTAGGTCCTCATGCCTGTGTTAGAAGCACCTTATTGATTGAGCCTCTCTCCACCAACTGCATCTTTGATATTAACTAATATTTTCCTACAATATGAAAATGATTTTCATGTAATTTTTGAGTCTGGATTTATACTTATTTTGTTTCTGATTAAAGGAACACAACAAAAAACAAAGATCCCTTACTTATGAGTGAGTGAAGCATCCTAAACATGTTACTTATAAGCATATTTAAAAGATTTATTTATTTGGGGCTAGAGATATGGCTCAGTGGTTAAAAGCACTGACTGTTCTTCCAGAGGTCCTGAGTTCAATTCCCGGAAACCACACGGTGGCTCACAACCATCTATAATGAGATCTGGTGCCCTCTTCTGGCATGCAAGCAGAAGACTGTATACATAATTTATTTATATTTTATGTGTATGAATGTCTTGCTTGCATTATATTTGTGTGCCTGGTGCCTGTGGAGGCCAGAAGAGGGTATGAGAGTCTCTGGAAATATAGTTAACACTTTTGTGCATCACCATGGGTCCTTTGGAGGAGTAGCCAGTTTTTCTGATACACAGATAGAATTCTCTCCAGCCCCCATGCTCATTTTCAGGTACTTTTTGTTGTTGATTTGAAAAATTCAGTCTTAAATTTAAGAGAAATAAAATTTTATAATAGTTTTATATTTTAAATTACCTTGAAAGTTCCTAGGGAACCTTTAGAAGACCACAGATTGGTTCTCAAATTGAATAAGACAAGATAGTGGAAAGAGTTGGGCTTGTTTGATGTACTGTTCTTTTAAGAGTTTCATGGGAGGAGCTGCCATGTCTGATAAGAGATGCCCAGCTGGCCCTAGGTTAGATTCCTATAGGTAAATTGGTACTAACACAATTATATCAGCAACTGTGATGGTCAAGACTTACATCAGTTTAATTGGACTGATAAATTCCTAGAAACTTAAACATCTCAGGCAGTATTTGTGAGGTTGTTTTCACAAAGGATTCACTAAGTGAGAGAAATTGTGATTTGAAATGGAGTATTACTAGAAAGAATAAAGGGAAGAAGAGTCAGTCCAGTGGTATAGATACCTCTCTCTGCTTCCTGGTCAGCGAGAGACATGGGGGAGGGCCTAGGCCCAACCCCAAATGACTTGACAGATTTTGATGATTACTCCTGGAAGGCCTCACCCTCCCTAGGGAGTGGATGAGGGAAGGGATGGGGGGTGTTGGTGGGGGGTATGGGAAGATGGGAGGGAGAGGGAACTGGAATTGATAGGTAAACTATTTTAAATTTACATTAAATAATAAAAAAGAAATCAAAGACTTCCTATAATTCAGTGAAAATGAATGCACAGCCCAAACTTATGGGACACAATGAAAGTGGTACCAAGAGGAAAGTTCATAGCATCAAGTGCCTACATTGGAGAAATTTCACACCAGTGACAGCACACCCGAAAGCCTAGAACAAAAAGAAGCAAACTCACCCAAAAGGAGCGGACAACAAGAAATAATCAAACTGAGGGCTGAAATAAATAAAATAGAAAAAAAAAGCACAATACAAAGAATCAATGAAACAAAGAGTTGATTCTTTGAGAAAAATCAACAAATAGACAAATCCTTATCCAAACTCACTAAAAGGCAGAGAGAGAATATCCAAATTGACAAAATCAGATAACAACAAACACTGAGGAAATGCAGACAGTCGTGAGGTCAAACTTCAAAGACCTATACTCCACAAAATTGGAAAATCTAAAAGAAATGGAAAAATTTGTTGACAGATACCACAAACAAAAATTAAATCAAGATCAGATAAACAATTTAAACAGACTTATAACTCATAAGGAAATAGAGGCAGTCATTAAAAGTCTCCCAGCCAAGAAAATCTCAGGGTCAGATGGTTTTACCACAGAATTTTACCACACTTCCAAAGAACAAATACCAGTATTCTTCAAATTATTCTACAAAATAGAAACAGAACATTGTCAAATACTTTTTATGAAGCCACAACTGTGATAATGAAACCTCACAAAGACTCAACAAAGAAAGAATTATAGACCAATTTCCCTCATGAACATGGATGCAAAAATACTCAATAAAATACTGGCAAATCAAATACACGAACACATCAAAAAGATCATCCGCCATGACCAAGTGAGCTTTGTCCCAGAGATGCAGAGATGGTTCAACATATGAGAATTTGTCAATGTAATCTCCCATTATAAACAAACTGAAAGGAACACACACACACACACACACACACACACACACACACACACACACACACACACAAACATCACTAGATGTTTGTGTGTGTGTGTGGGTGACCTTCATAATAAAAGTCTTGGAGAGATCAGGGATACAAGGAACACACATAAATATAATAAAAGCAATATATGGCAAGAAGCTGGCAAGCAACGTCAAATTAATTGGAGAGAAACTCAAAGCAACTCCACTAAAGCATGACAAGGCTATCCACTCTCTCTGTATCTATTCATTATAGTACTCAAAGTTCTATCTAGGGCAATAAGACAACAAAAGGAGACGACATCAGAAGATGGAAAAATCTTCCATGCTCATGGAAGGTAGCATTAACATAGTAAAAATGGCCATCTTACTAAAAGCAATCTACAGATTCAATACAATCCCCATCAAAATTCCAACACAATTCTTTACAGAGCTTGAAAGATCAATACTCAACTTCATATAGAAAAACAAAAAAATCCAGGAGAGCTAAACCACTCCTGCACAACAAAAGAACTACTGGAGGTATCACTATCCCTGATCTCAAGATCTACTACAGAGCTATAGTAATAAGCCAGAGGGGTCAGGGGCATTGCAGGAAACCCCACAGAAACTCCTAGCCTGGCTCATGGGAACTCAGAGTCTGAACCAACAATCAGGGGGCCTGCATGGCCCTCTGCATATATGTGACAGTTGTGTAGCTTAGTCTATGTGTGGGAGTCCTGGCAATGGGAACAGGGGATAGTCTCAAATGCTTTGGCTGGCTCTTGGGAACCTATTCCTCAAGATGGATTGACATGCCCAGCCTTAATACAGGGGGAAGTGCTTGATCTTATGGAAGCTTGATATGCCATACTTTGCTGATACCTATGGAAGGTCTGCCCCATTCTGAGCAAATACAGAGTAAGGGTGAATTGGGGGTGGTGGGATAAAGGATAAAAGTGAATAAAGGGAGGTGGGGGAAGGGAATGGAAGGAGATACTTTGGTTGGGATATAAAACAAATAAATTATTAAAAATGAAAGAAACTATGGTGGGTGAGATGGTTTCATCTGGGAGGTCATATTCAAATTGGAGAAAGATGGATCTTTATCTTGGGCATAAATGTAACATATAAAGGAAGTCCTAATGTTGTAAAAGTAAATGAAAAACAAATGTCTCCAAGGAAAGAAAAAAAGAGTCTACAATTTGGGACCTTTTCCAAGCTGCTCCTGATGTAAGCACCCTGACTTAGCTTTCTTTGAGAGAGATCAGCACTTTCTCAAGCCTTCATGCTTTCAGCTTTGTGGGTTCTGATTATGAATACCAGATGCTTACTTGATGTAGTTAGCATTAACTGTCATCTTGACACAGCCTTGGATCACCTGGAAAATGAGACTCAATTGTCTTTCTCAGGTTGATCTTTGGGGATTTCTGTGAGGGACTGTTTTAATTATTAGTTGATGTAGAAGAGCCCACCCACAAGTGCTTCTGCTTTAAATTTCTGCTTGAGTTCCTGCCCCCATTTCCCTGAATGATGGCTGGAAGTGTAAGCTATTAAACTATTTCTTTTTCCATTTTGCTTTGGGTCAGAGTGTTCTATGACAGAAGTAGAAATAAAATCAAAACATCAAAGCAAATTAGTGGACCATAGTAAAAACATTAATGTGACTAAATCTCACGAGCCGTACCTTTTCCCCCATCGATACACCTCCTGAGGTGATGATGACATCAGCACGGCTGATACCCTCATTCAAGGCATTGAGTAAGTCATCTGGGCTGGGAAAATAAAGAAGAATATGTTAACATAAAAAGGAAATATACAGCATTAACTGAAACCTAAATACTTTATAAATCTCAAGTTTACATTATTGTGAGTACAATAATGAGCTATGTTAAGTGAGCATCAAATGGGTCTTTAAAATTAAGAGTGTTAAGTATTAATGTAGAAAAAGGACCTTTGTAAAATGCTGAAGTAGTGGCTATTGGCGCTTTCTTTCACAGAGCTGTTCATTCAAACAATGCAGTATAATGAAGAGTTGATTTCAAAAGGCTATAAGGTAGGCAGAATAGGAGGGCACTGAAGTTGACAGGCATAGTGAGATATTCAAGGTAACCATTTTTAAGCTATTTTTTAAATGACCATAATATTCATATTGTGAAAGACACATTCTTCATAGTTATACCTTCAGATAAAAACTGACTTTATCTAAATATATAAATTTTATTTGAATATTCAAAATATTGAAGGGTCAAGTGTGATGGCTTATGCCTGTAATCCCAGCATTTGGCTGTTGAAGCAGGAAGTTTGTGTCAAGTTCTAGGATACTCTGAGCTAGAGTGAGGTCCTATTTCATCTTTCACCCCATGAAAGAAAAAAAATTATACTTAAAACATGAATTATTTTCTCACCATTGTCACTATAGGGATTCTTTATTAAGAAGATTAATTTTCTAATTTCCCTTAGCTTAAACAGACACATTTTTTTTTTCTGTTGTTTTTTTCCAGACAGAGTTTCCCTGTGTAGCCCTGGTTGTCCTGGAACTTACCTTGATATCAGAGATCTACCTGTCTCTGCCTCCCAAGGTGCTGGGATTGAAGGTGTGCACCACCACTGCCTGGTCCCAGACATGTATTTTAAAAACGGCTATCTTCCTTCATGAACACATGTGTTTTCAATTAAATTTGTATGATAATTACTTACCCTTTTGGGATAATCCTAAATACTCAATTTGCTCACTTCTTACCCATTTTTTCTTAAATTATTGAGTACCTATCTATTGTTCTTTTAGGGTACTAATGCTACATGAAAACATTATAAAAAGAGTTACTTTACATTCATAGCATTGAATGTACCAGATAACAGAAATTAGAGCTATTAACTGAAGGCCTAGTACCCTGAAGTTCAGTTTTAGATAAAAACTCATTACTGAAATGAACCTAAACAAAAACAGTGGGTGTTCCTCATTCTATCTGTAAAATGAGGGCAATGACCTCAGTCCTTTCCACCATTCATATTCATTCACACTGGTTCTAAGCACTTGGGGCTAGCTAGGACCCAGTTCAGCTGTAAAATGTACCACTCTTAAATTTATCCAGGTATCTACTTAAAATATTAAGACTTTCCTATCTCAAAAGGCTGGGGACAACCACCCTTCACAACTAAATAGTCCAGGAAACAAAAAGTCTTTCAATATAGAAGACTGGTACAGCTGGCTACTGGTGCTCTGTTAATTCAAGTTTTCAGGTTTCTTCGTCAATATCACTTGTGATCCTCTTTCCTACTATCACACCATGTCTAACAGTTCTAAATTGCTCTAGAAATTCCTTGAGTCCTGAGTGTGAAAAGGACCCTTAGAAGGGCAAAAGAAAATACCAAAAATAGAAATGCCTAATATAATAAAGACACAAAATGGGTAGCAGATGGATAAATGCAACAATGAGAACAGTTCCCAGGGAAATAAAAATGCTGGAAGACTAGACAGTGATAACAGTAACAGTGACAATATACAAAATATATAAATTGATACTTAATTACAACAATAAAAAGGTGTTCTAAAGCAGTGAACATAGCTGGGAAGTGTAGTTCAGTAGTAGAACACTTCCCAATTATGTCCAAAGCCCAGAACTGTAAGAAAAAATACAAAACTCGCAAGCCAAAGTGACAAAACCCAATGAAATAACCAGGACCTTGAGCTACATAATGAATTTCAAGCCTGCATTGGTAACATATTGAGATCTTCCCACAAGAACAATTGTACAACCAAACATACAAAACATACGCTGTTAAAAATGTAAAATATACAGAGGGATATACGAATACTTTTGTTAAAGACTCAGTTTGTGGCCTAGAAGATTAAGTGGTAGAAATAGATTTAGGCATTGTAAAACTGAATAAGGAGGGAGAAGCCACGGAAGAAATAACAAGAAACTTAGAGAACAGAACAAGATGCTGACACAAAGACAAAAGGAATCTTATTGGGGAAGGAACAAACTGAGAGAAGGAATAATTTATCTATTTAGAAAATAATGGGCACAGAAATTTAAAAGGCCTACAAATTCCATTTACAGCTAATGAAAAAACATACATGTAAGCACATTCTAGTAAAAATTTGGCAATTTTAAGGACAATTTAAAGTATTTATACAGAAAGAATTAATTACTAACAAATGAAACATACTTTTGACTTACACCTGTTTTCTATAATACTCTAAAATAGAAAACAATAAATAACTAATATATCTCTGAGACAAGTGTATGCAATGCTGGAGCCTACATCAAGCCATTGGGATGAAAAAAAAAAAAAAAAAAAAAAAAAAAAAGAAAGAAAGAAAGAAAGAAAAAAGGTAAAAACACAAATATTCAGATAACATAAGTAATATTCTGGAGAAGTGATAGTAAATGAAAAATGGAGTAAAATAGAGGACTCTGGTAGAAGAAGCTAGAATAGAGTTGAGTAGTGCATACATATCCATCTATTCATATATATCTAAAAATACATAGCTAAAATGAAATGGAAAATGAGTGAATAAACTTGAGAGTTATTTTTCTGTTAAATATACACTTAAATTATAGTAATTTACTGAAGAAAATTCAGTGAATCTGTTGGCCCTGTTACTTGTTTCTTATCAGCTAGCTCTGCCTTAATTATTAACCCATTTTTATGGTATAGATATGAATATTTCATTTTGGAATGGATTTTCATTTATTGATAAAATTTAAGGCCAATGTTGTGATATGTATATTTCTCTTCTTGTTTATGTATTGTGTTTATATAGCTCATTTAAAAATGTAATGTATAATTTAGTACAGATTTTACATAGTTACCTATAATAGTCAAAACTTATAGCTAGGTGAGTTAGATTTTCAAGATACACAGAGATGTATTTGAGATAGATAGGCATTCTTCAAACCTTTCAAAGACCTACAGAATATGGCATTTAAAATGGTTTAGGGTTTTCGTGACAATGAGACATAATTGCTCTTGTCAATACCACCTGCACCAGAAAGGAAGATGGACATTGAAGAAACTCGTTATGGAGTTTGCTTCCAATATGGCAAGACTAGCCATTTGGACAAGATACTGCTCTTGTCTGGACTGTTTGACTTTATGATGTATAAACTGGACATGCAGGACCCACAGGAAAGTGACTCCTGATTCACGATGGACATTGCTACAGAGTTCCTGCTTCATGGAAGAGTCTACGAGAAAGCTGCAGGACACAGAGAAAAGTGACTGACAAACTGCCAATACAAGAAGACAGTTTAAAGTTTCCTGCTTTGCAGAAGAGTCTGCCAGACACACTATGGCCTATGTGCTGAAGATGGAAGATTACAGAAGAACTTCAGGTGACTGACAAGGCAAGATGTCTCTGTCATTTCTACTATCCTTCTGTGGTCTTTGAAGGAGTTGAAGACAGATAGTTATGGTTATAGTTTTCCTTAGTTAGGATTCAATGATAAGGTACATATAGGACTTAGACTCACAAGATAAAATAGATGATGGAATATTTTCTTAAATCTTACTAAATGTTAATGGACTAAATATTGTTAACTGTGATTCTTATTGGATAACTGTTATGTGATATATTTTACAATGTTAAGGTTAAAACGCTTTTTATTTAGACAGAAAAGAGGAGATGATGGGAGATGTCATTCTGTATATGTTTCTCATACTGGTTAATAATAAAGCACTGTTGGCCAATAGGAAAGGAAGAAAGGAGGGACTAGGAGACAAGGAGGAAATAGGAAGTAGTAAGGAGGAGTCAAGATGGAGAGTCAGGAGAGAGCTGGACGCCAACCGCCTCCCCGGTAAGAGAAGGCCATGTAAAAATACATAGATCAGCAAAAATGGGTTAATAATTAAGGCAGAGCTAGCTGATAAGAAACAAGTAACAGGGCCAACAGCATTGTATCAAATACAGAGTCTCAGTGTGTTATTTGGGGCTGGCTTGGTGGCAGGACAAGACCAGGCGGCGGGGGGAAAACCCGTACTCGTTACATGAATCTAGAAAATTTATGACATTTAGTAAAATATCCCTGAACTGAGAAGTCAGGAGAATGGGAAAAGTAAAAGTATTCTAAAGCTCTCATCTGATTGATATAGGTGAGCATGGAGGAAATGAGAATGTTTGTAGGAGGGATTCAGTGTCTCCCCTTATATAATAGTGAGTAAAAATATATTTACTACGAGGACCACTATCTGGAAGGAAAACAGAAAGGGTACTAAATAGCATAGCTTCCAAAATAATAAAGGATAAAAAAGAGCAAATGGTATCTGGAGCCAAGCAAGAACAGAAAAAAAAAAAAAAATCCGGGTAATCATTTATGCAAAGTTTGTACTAAAGCAAACAATAATCCAAGTATATGCAAGATAGGACTTTAAATTTGAAGCTCAAATTCTATTTTATTGTTAATTATAAGGAAAATACTTCAAGAGGCCAAAGATTGAAAATAACTGGGAGACAATATTTCATAAGGTAAATGTAAATAAGCAAAACTGCAGGCAGGGCAATGCCAACATCAAAGTTAGATAAAAACAAGTAAAGAACAGCAGACCGCACAAGTTACAGTAAAAACTGGATGGAGAAAGATGTCAGTGTATATAACTAACTGTCCTATTACAAGTTCTTGTTTTATCCAAGCTCAGTGACTACCCTGCCAAATCTGTGCACATGGTAGGCTCTCAGTAAATGTGCCAGATTAATGTTGGTTTTTAAATCAATCTCTCTACAATAGCTTTGGGAATAAACAATTATAATGATATTACAGCAAATAAT